CCAGCCTGCAGTGACAGCCCCCCACACCTCTGGATGAGCCGCCTGGGCTCCAAGTGTCCCACAACCTGCCTCGGGCCCCATTCCCCCCAGCCCCTACCCTGCCCCTGCCTCAGTCCCCATGGTGAGGGACAGAGTGGGACATCAGTTTGCCCCCCCGCCCATACCCCTTTCCCTTCCCCAACTTACCTGCTGTTGTGGGCAGTGTTCCACATGCCATCTGGCTGCAGTCCCACCCACCTGCAGGCTCCGTGTCTCTATGGACTCCCCTCCAACCTCCTGCTGCAGCCACCAGGCTGCCCTCCAGCACTCTGCAGTGTCCCACATTTCGGGGGATTAAGCCCTGTTGGCCCCAGCCTTCCCCTGCCTATGCTCACAACCCTTAAATTGCAGTGTGGGGCAAATTTCACAGTTTCTATGCAGTTAGCGAAATTATGACTTTTCCCAGGGCCCTACTCATGTGGCCTGTGGGACCAAAAGGTTGAGCACTACTATCTTAAAACTTGAGCTGCATCTCTCTGAGGAATGAAGGTTTCCTATTTTCTTACACTCCTGCCTGCTTGTGGCCAAAAGCAAAGTGCCAGGATATAGGCTTTGGCTATGGAAAAGCATTCTAGCCATATAAAATTTCAAGGACATTTGTGTTTCCCATCATGTCCTGGGAAACATGATAAGAAGGGGGTATACACGATTACACTGCTCTGGCCCTGGAATACATCTCAAGGTTGAACTCTTCAGCTAGGAGGCAATAAGGGAGTTGTCTTTGGTTCCCCCCAGCTCCATAACAGACACTCTGCCTTCAACTGAAGCCACATGGGCATCAGCCAGAAGTAGTTTCAGGGGAGAGCTAACTTCTGACTGCTAGTGGAGGGATGTTGGGGGTGGGGTCATGTCCTCTGCCCTTTTCCCCTTTGTGGGAAAAGTAGGACTGTGTTTGCAGCTATGCTGGTCCCGGGGGCTGGTCTTAAGACTGATCCCAGGGCAGCAGCAGTGACTGACAGCCCCCAGTTATCTGTGGGGTTAGGGGGGGGGTGACTGGCGTGCTGTGCGCCCCCCTGCAAGAAAACTGGGGCTGTGCTTGTAGCTGCAGGTTCTGTTCCAGGACGCCCTGGTCCAAGGGCAGTAACCAAGGTTGTCAAGCATAGCCCATAACTGCCGTTGGGGTTGGGAGGGGTCATGGACCTCCTGAAAACGAAAAGAGACTCTTCTAAGAGATGGAAGCTTGGAATTACCTGCAAGGAGTACACAGGAATGGCCCGCATCTATAGGAAGCAGATTAGAAAAGCAAAGTCAGAAACTGAAATCAAATTTGCAACAAATCTAGGACAATGAAAATAATTCTTCACATACGTAGGAAGCAGGAGGAAAAAGTAAAGGAAACATAGAACCTCTGCTGAATACAATAGGATAGCTGATAACCAACACTTGGAGAAAACTGAACTCCCTAATAAATATTATGCATTGGTATTTCACCAGAATCAGGGTGTTAGCTTGCCTGACAGGATGCAGGACAGACAAGGAAGGGGTGATCACCCACCTATAATCAGTGCAGATCTTGTGAAGGGAATATCTATAGAGGCTGGATATCTACAAGTCAGAAGGACTGGATGAACTATACCTGAGAGTGCTGAACAAACTGGCTGATGTCATTGTATGACCAGTAGCAAAACTTTGAGAAGTCATGGTGCTCAGGAGAGGTCCCAGAAGACTGGAAGGAGTGAATGTTCTGGTGCCTATCTTCAAGAAAGGAAGGAATGAGGACCTTGGGAATTTATAGGCCAGTCAGTCTGACCTCGATCCCTGGAAATGTCCTGGAAGCATTTATCAAAGAATCCATCAATGATAGGCTAACAGAAGGCAGTATTTTAAAAGATGGCCAACATGGCTTCATTGCTGGCAAGTTCTGCTTGACCAACCTTATCTCCTACAGTCTCAGGTAACTTGCTACCTGGATAAGGAAGATGAGGTTGATGTCATATAGTTGGATTTTAAAAAATTCATCATCATTTTTAAAAATTTAAAAATCATATATTGACTCCCCTGTGAAATCCTGTGAAACCTAAGCTTTCTTTTCTACCTGGGAGAACCTTTACAATCTTTTCTCCAATGCCTGATGAAAGGTGCTTGTGCCTGAAAGCTGGCAATTAAAAATTTTTTTTTGCAAAAATCTTGTTGGTCTAATAAAAGATATCATCTCCACTAGGAGTCCTGATTGGATTTTAAAAAGGCCTTTGACTTGGTCTCCCATGATGTCCTCATAGTAAAATTGGGAAATTGTGGCCTCAACGACTTAACAGTCTGGTGGCTAGGAAACTGGCTCCAAGGTCAGATCCAGAGAGTATTAATAGATGGAAGTGAATCAACATGGCGAAAGGTGACCAGTGGTGTCCCTCAGGGTTCAGTACTCAGACCAGTACTTTTCAACATATCCATCAGTGATTTGGATATGGGTGTGAAAAACGTACTGGCAATGTTCATGGATGACACCAAGTTGTGGGGGAGTGCGGTCACACTGGAGAATGGGCTGAGGATACAGGCTGACCTGGACAGGCTTGTAAGGTGGGCGAATCAAAACCTAATGATGTTTAACACTGAGAAATATAAAGTGATCTGGAGAGAAATAATCTGCAACATACTGATAGACTCGGTGCTGCACTTGCTAGCAACACAACTGAAAGAGACCTGGGGGTCATGAGCAATCACAGAATAAACATGAGCTACCAGTGTGATGCTATAGCCAGGAGAGTGACCAGTACACTCCCATGCATCAACCAGTGCATCTTAAGCAAGACTAAGGATGTCATCCTCCCACTGTACTCAGCATTGGTGAGACTGCAGTTGGAGTACTGTGTCCAGTTCTGGATGCTGCACTTCAAAAAGGATGTGGAGAAGCTTGAAAGGGTCCAAAGGAGGGCCACATGAATGATTAGAGGTCTGTCTGGAGAACAGACCATATGAGGAAAGGCTGAAGGACATGGGACTGTTCAGCCTGCATAGCAGAAGACTTAGTGGGGACTTGGTGGCAGCCTATAAATAAGGGGTGAACACCAAAAGCTGAGAGAGCATCTGTTCGCCAAGGCACCCCAGGAAGACCAGAAATAATGGACATAAACTTCTAAAAGAATGTTTCAGATTGGATATAAGGAAAAACTTCTTTACAGTTAATGTCCACAGTCTGGAACCCCCAGAGGAGGTACAGTCACCTATCCTGGAGATCTTCAAAAGACAAATGACACACACCTTCCTGGGGTCCTCTGCCCCTAGCAGTCTTTCCTGCCTAAGAGCAAGGGAGCTGAACCTGATGATCTTGTGACGTCCCATCCAGCTCCTGATTTTTATGAACTTGTGCTTTTGCCCCCCAAGCACCTATTCTTCAGGTCCCTGCATGGGAGAGGGTTTCAGTTTCATAGTAGCTAGGGTCAGGAGGGACCTGAACAGATCACCTAGCCTGACCCCCTGCCACAGGCAGGAATGAATGCTGGGTTCACAAGACCCCAGACAGGTGATTGTCCAACCTCCTCTTGAATTTGCCCAAGGTAGGTGCTAGGACCACTTCCCTGGGAAGTTGGTTCCAGATTTTGGCCACCCTAACTGTAAAATATTGCCTTCTGATCTCTAACCTAAACCTATTATCCATCAGCTTATGACCATTGTTCCTCGTCACCCCAGGTGGTGCTGGGGAGAAAAGAGCTCTGCCAATTTGCTGTTGATCCCCCGTGATGAGCTTGTAGGCAGCCACCAGGTCCCCCCTCAGCCTCCTCTTGCTGAGGCTGGACAAGTTCAGGTCCTTCAGTCTCTCCTTGTAGGGCCTGTCCTGCTGCCCTCTCACCAAGTGGGTGGCCATCCTCTGAACCCTCTCCAGGCTGGCCCCTTTTGAAGTGCAGCGCCCAGTACTGGACACAGTACTCCAACTGCGGCCTGACCAAAGTTGTATAGAGGGGGAGTATCACCTCTCTGGACCGGCTTGAGATGCAGCTTTGGATGCATGACAAGATATGGCTGGTCTTGCTGGCTGTGGTCTGGCATTGGCGGTTCATGTTCATCTTGGAGTCAATAATGACTCCAAGATCCCTT